TACTCTTGGGTTGCCAAGCCTGGAAGATGTTAAGTTGGTACTGCTGGCTGCTATTTTGTCGTGCCATCTGAGAGAATGTGTGTCTTCAGTTAAAAAGCATAAAGCTGAACAGAAATAAGAGATAGACAAAGAGCTGAAGGACTAAGCTATTGGTTCCTAGAACCCTCCATTCCATTCTGTGAATCATTTCTGTATCTTTTCTTCCACTATGAAGCAATAAAATTAAACTTGCTTAAGCTGACTTTAATTGCGTGTTTTTTTTTTATATAAAAGTTGCAACCAGGGAAGTCCTAACCATACAGTTCCTGTAACTGTAGATAAGACATTACTACCACCAGCAAAGAGCAGCCAATAGATACAGTAAAAAGATTCAGCTCCCTATAATAAGATAAAGCTATGAAAGTGAGACAACAAACAGGCTCAAGGTAGAAGAATAGTTTGGAAATTTAGCATCTTAATTTCTTTTAAAAAGCAGTTAATATTTGAAGAATCTAGGTCCACTACAATCAATATTGAAGATATTTCCCAAAGCATGGTCAAATATGCCATAGTTTATGTGAGAGCGTGCTAGCCTAAAATACCGGTTAAGAACACAAAGTGAGAAAAAGGTAAGAATGTAACAGTCCTGAGTTGGTTATAATTTCTTAGGAATTACAAAGGGAGGAAAGGAGTTGAGAGATACAAGGATGAATGACTGTCACATTTATCTACACTTTCAAAAAATCTTTGTAAACCTTATATATTAGATTGCTTATAGTTGTCTACAGTTTGTTTCTAATGCAATAAAAACTATTAACAGATGAATTTAAGGCACTGAAGCATAACATTGTCACTGATATGGTTTGGATTTGTATCCCCACTCAAATCTCATGTCCAATTGGAGGAGGGGCTTAGTGGGAGGTGATTGGATCATGGGGGCAGATTTCCCCCTTGCTGTTCTTGTGATGGTGAGTGAGTTTTCATGAGATCTGATACTTTAAAAGCGTGTGGCACTTCTCCCTTCTCTCTCTCTTCCTCCTGCTCCACCACGGTAAGACATGCTTGCTTCCCCTTTGCCTTCTACCATGATTGTAAGTTTCCTGAGGCCTCCCAGCCATGCCTCCTGTTCAGCCTGCAGAACCATGAATCAATTAAACCTCTTTTCTTTATAAATTACCCAGTCTCAGGTAGTTCTTTATAGCAGTGTCAGAATGAACTAATACAGTTACTTTAGTGTCTTTAACTGTATTAACATGCTATTTGGGTTTATTGATTTAGCCACAGTTAATTCTTTTGATGGGGGATAAGGGAGTAATTTGATAAAAAGATCTGAATTTATATATTGTTCACAAGTAAACATTAATTTTAAAGGAATCCTAGAAAAAAATGCTATCTTGCAGACACCTTTTCAAAAATAAAATATTTACCTTAAAGATATTAACATTCTGTCAGAGAAAATTAAAATGTAGATAAAATATCTTAATATTTTAATCTTAACAAGCATATATTCATCATAATAACTGTTTGTTTTCTTACATTTAATACAGTAACATAAAAGTCTAGATTAGGGACATGAAAATATTCTATAATAGTTTTGCAAGAAAGTGATTTTATTAGGACAAACAAGACTGTTAATGTCATGCCTTGATATTTTATTTTAAAAATCGTGTGATTATCCTTTCAGTAACATATAGATTCCTCAGCACTTTTGTATCATAATTTCATTCTTAAAAATTCTGGTGGCTTGCTTTATTGTATTTTTCTTAATTGTGCTGATCTTAAACAGATCTTCAGTTTTAAATCTGCCAGTCGTTCGAATACAGATGCATACATATATTTTCTCCAGTTAGCTATTTAATACAAAGACAGTTTATTTGTGGGTACCATCAAGACATCTGTATTTTATTGGGCTTAATTTTTGGTAATAAAGACCTCCCACATTACAGATTCTTTCCAACCTAAATGTGCCTGTGTGGGAAGCAAAAGAATCATCAGTCAGGAGAAAAAGTGAATCCATATGGTGCTGATGATTCGCTTTCCTGGCTAAAATGAAGAGAGTTGAGTATAGACAATGCCCCCAACACATCTCTATTTTTTTCTAAAAAGCATGCTGCTATGGTTTGAATATTTGTGTCCCTCAGCAACTCAAAGGTTGAAACTTAATTGCCAATGTGATAGCATTAAGAAGAGGTGGGGAATTTAGGAGGTAATCAGGTCAAGAGGGGTCTGCACTTGTGTATGGGATTAGTGCCTTTATAAAAGAGGCCGAAGGGAGTTTATTTGCTCCTTTTGCCCTTCTGTCATGTGAAGACATGTACAAGGTGCTATCTATGAAAATTGGGACCTCGGAAGACACTCAATCTGCTGGTGCCTTGATCATGGACTTTCCAGCCTCCGAAAGTGAGGGCAATACATTTTTGTTGTTTATAAATTAACCAGTTTAAGATATTTTGTTATAGCAGCCCTAATGAATGAAGGCACTTGCCATAATAAAGAAGACTGGTCTCAGTCCCAACCCAGTACCTTTGAGCCAGCTCAGTTTATGCACGTACCATGCATCAAGCCATGGGTACTTAACTGAAATTGTAAGGGCACATTCTACTTTGCCTCTAATCTTGCTCTGTTTCTCTTACATCCGTGTCCATTCTCTGGCTCTTGCCAATCTCTTCCACTTTAGTGCTCACTTCTACCCTTTGGATATGCTTGATTTTGGTTTCCCCAGTTGAATCTTCATTACTCTTTATGGACTTTGGCTCAAGTTCCCACACAGGCCCCATGATATGGAGGAATTTTAAATTTCAAATCTGTTAAAAATTAGTTAAAACACTGTCTTTAGCTTTATAAAGATGACAAACCAAAATTGATAATAGAATTTAAAGTGATGACATGTTTTCTTCATTATTACAGTTATACATAATTCTCCACCATGAGAACAGACAGGGCCTGAAAGCTTTTCTTTTGATTGATAACAAAGTACCTGAAACAGCTCATTTCTCTTGGTCGATATCGCCTATGGGATGAGGAGGAAATTGGACCTCATGTACTCTTTACTATCAGTGCTACCTCTCTCTGCACAAACCAGAAAAACCTATTAATATTATCTTCCCTGTATTTCTGCTATTCATAGCTACTTGTTAAGTCTGAATTTCAGCAATAGAGAAGACACTACTTCCTGAGATGCTGCTGTGTTCACGTCAACGTAAATTATTGGGTAAATTTAAATGTAGTTTAACAAGCTTCCTTTTGCTGAGGGAGATGAATATATGACTTACCCTTAAAAAACATTATGGGGCCAGGCATGGTGGCTCACACCTGTAGTTCCAGCACTTTGGAAAGCCCAGGGGTCAGATCACGAGGTCAGGAGTTAGAGACCAGCCTGGCCAACATGGTGAAACCCCATCTCTACTGAAAATACAAAAATTAGCTGGGTGTGGTGCCATGCACATATAATCCCAGCTATTTGGGAGGCCAAGGCAGGAGAATCACTTGAACCTGGGAGGCGGAGGTTGCAGTGACCCGAGATTATGCCACTATACTCCAGCTAGGTGACGCATCAAGACTTCATCTCAAAAAAAAAAAAAAAAAGAAATCAAGTTAAGATGTGTCCTACTGGATTAGGGTGGGCCCTAACACAGTGACTGGTGTTACTTCTCAAGAAGAGAGAAATTTGGACACATTGACATGCAGGGGGAATGCTGTGTGATGATCGTGGCAGAGATTGGAGTGACATATCTACAAGCCAAGGTACATGGAGGATTGGTGGCAACCCCCTTCTCTGGAGCCTTGCAAGACAGGATGGCCCTGTTGACACCTTGATTTCAGACTTCCAGCCTCCAGAATTGTAAGAATAAATTTCTGCTGTTTAGCCACCCAGTTTGTGGTAATTTGGCAGCTCTAGGAAACCAACACACTAGTTAAGGAGGCAGTATGAACGGTAATAGAGATCTATGAATACAAAGAATGGAAATACAGCTTTCTAAATGTCATGGACAGTAATTCTTAGAACAGCTTTCCTCTACAAAAACTTAGAAAGCTGTCTGACTTTTTGATTTAATGTGTGATTTAAAGTGAGTCACCTCTCCTCTCTGGACCTGTTTCTCATCAGTGAAGGGGGCTTTGATTTAACAGCTCTGAAGACTGTTCCACTTGTAATAATGGCAATCTGTAATGTATATGATTTTTCTTTAATTGTGTAATTTAAGAAACTATTAGCTTAAGAGAAACTCACTCAGGGAATTTAGTGTCTCTTCCTGCCCCTTTCACTCCTGACGGTCAGACATGTGTGAAACTAAAGTATCTTATTTTCTAAGCTGAGCATCATTTCCGGTGTATGTAGCTGAAGGACAAATTATCTTCTGGCTTAGGCGCTTCTCAAGCCTCCTTTCTACCAAGCATGTTTGAATCAAGGAAAAAAAACCACGAATGTCTATCCACAGACTAATCAACCCAGCAATATAGTAGAATAGAGGGAATTCACACAGCCTTGAATCTGGGCCTCAGAGGAGTGCCTGGGCAGGTACTTTAAATTCCTTAAGCCTATATTCTTATCCGTAAAATGGCGATAATATTAGTACTTTAATGGGTTGTTGAGAGGACGACCAAAGTCAAATACTATATATATATACACACACACACACACACACACACACATACATATATACATACATATATATGTATATATACACACATATGTGTATCTATACACATATACATATATGCATATATGTATATGTGTATATACAAGTATATATATGTATATGTGTGTGTGTGTATATATATATATATATATATATAAATGCCTGGTAACCAATGGACGTTTACAAATGTTACTTGCTTACAAAATTCTAGCTTACAGAACGGACACTAAAAATCTCCCAGATCCCCCTGCAGGTCCCCTAGGTGGGAGGCGAGTTGGGTACCTGACTTCCACCTGCAGGGCCCCAACGCGGAGCCTGGAATTGAGGGGACCCAGCTCGCCGCGGTGGCGCCCTGTAGGAGGGCGCGGGGGCGGGGCCGGCGGAAGCGCTGGAGCGCCGTTGTCAGCTGCGCCGGAAGTTCCTAGCCGGGCCTGGCGGTAACCTTGGGCGCCTCGCTGGTGCCTCCGCGGCTGCTGGAGTGGGCTTTGCGAGTCTGAACCTCAGCGGCGCCAGGCTCCTTAGTTGCCGAGAGCCTCCGGGTTAGCGGTGGAGGACGCTGAGCCTCGCGGGGGGCAGGCACCCGGGCTCAGGGCCGCCCAGCCGACATGTCTCTAGTAGCGGAAGCCTTCGTCTCCCAGATTGCAGGTATCGCGCGTGGCCTCAGACCCAGGAGGTGGCGGCGCGGTCTCCGGGAGCTGCGTGGGGTACCGGGCTGGAGTCTTCCTCTAGCTTTGCGGCATTATGCGCTGAACTCAGGCCGGAGGGTGGAGGCGGGCACGGACTACCAACCTTATCTTACGGATGGAAAAACTGAGGAGGAGACGCTTGGCCAAGGTCACCCCGCGGGAGCAGGCGTCCCGTCTCCTTCCCTTGGGCGTTCCATTGTCCATCTCCCCATTCCGTTGGGAGGTGCTGGAGTATGAGGAGGGGGCCTTGAATTGGGATTGAGGTGGGGGGCGTGACCACAGGGGCAAGCATCTGAACCCTTCAGTCTAAGAGTGGGGGAAGTTTCCGGGTCTTGGTACCCAAAGTTTAAGGTGACTGTCATTACTCAATTGTTACTTGTTGTTATCGAGGGACCACCAGACTTCTTGCTTCCTCTCCAAGCGACACAGTAGTGCCGTTTATTAAGAGTCTAAGACTTTAGGATTCATGGGAAAAAAATGTTTTGTTTTTTTTTTTGAGATGGAGTTTTGCTCTTGTAGCTGAGGCTGGAGTGCAATGGCACGATCTTGGCTCACTTCAACCTCCATCTCCTGGGTTCAAGCGATTCTCCTGCCTCAGTCTCCCGAATAGCTGGGATTACAGGCGCCCACCACCACGCCTGGCCGGATTCATTGAAATATTTTTAAATCTGCAGGTACTTTAAAGAAATATCTTTGAGTCGTCGGACTGAACATGACTAATGTATATAGATTTCTAATTTCTCTCTTATTGAGGTTCTTATTGTAATGAAAGAAACTAAATATTGTTGAGAACCTGAGGAGATTAAACATAGGTACTTTTAGATATAGGCTAATAGAATTAGCCATAACTCCCTAGCAGTGTTTTCAACATGAGTATGGTAATGCAGACAGTCACTACAATAAATAGGTACATTTGAAGAAATAAGATAGTATTTTGGAAATGGGAAATATAGAATGTGTCATAAAATTTGCGGGAATGTTTTTCACTGCATTGCGTTTGTGTGAACACACATTTCTTTTTTTTTCCTTCTTCACTTAAAATACATTATTTTCTAGAAGACAGAAGAAGCTCCTACTAGATTGCAAGCTTCCTGAAAGTAGGGATCAAACTTGTTTTGTTCCTTGTTGTATCCGTAGTCAGTTGGTACTCAATAAATATTTGTGACTCAAATCAATGATTAATCTTGAGATTTCAAGCAATGATTATTTATGTTTTTACCATTTATGTTGAAAACAAGATCAGACTTACATAGTTAGATCAGCGATTTAATTTAGATTGCTACTATGTTAAAAAAAAAAAAAAACAACAGCACTTCACAGTGTTTGTTGAGAGTGGTACACTGTGTGCATGTGTCCTAATGTGTGATTTCTTTTAATGAGAAAATGTTGAAAGTCTTTTTATAAACTTTTGATACTGCTTTAACTAATGACGTTTAAGAATTTCTAGTGACGTTAAGAATTTTGTTTGTCTGCTATGTTAGCTATTTGTAGTGATCTGCTACTCTAGGAGGAACCATTTAAAGATGGATAATTCAACAAATAGTGTTGGAATAACTCCTAAGTCATTATGCTACATGAATAAATTACAGATGGATTAAAGATCTAAATGTAAAACCAAAAAATTGTAATAAAATAATTAGGAGACAACATAGGAGATTATTTTAATAATTCTTTATTAGCAGAAGGGGCCTAAGCAAAACTTAGGAATTTGTAATCCATAAGATAAAAACTTGGCAGATTTGATTGCAGAAAAAATTTTAAAACTTTGATAAAAGACATCTTAAGTAAGTTAGTACAAATAAGAAGACAGACCAGCAGAATCAAAGACAAAGGATTGGAACAGGCAATTCACAAAAGGATGAAATATGGATAGACAGTGAACAGATTAAAAGATGTTCTCTGTCACTAATAATGTATAGCATCCCCCCGCCCTCCCCATCAGGTGGACAAAAATGAATATGATTTCTAGTACCAATAGGGGATGGGGAAAACAGTACTCTCAAATTATTGGTGGGTCTGTAAGTTAGTATTACTTTTTGGGAACTTAACGTAGCAATATTTATTTTAATTTTTTTTTTTTTTTTTTTTTTTGAGACAGAGTCTCATTCTATCACCCAGGCTGGAGTGCAGTGGTGCAATCTTGGCTCACTGCAACCTCCGCCTCCTAGGTTCAAGCAATTCTTCTGCCTCAGACTCCTGAGTAGGTGGGACTACAGGCACACACCACCACGCCCAATTAATTTTCGTATTTTTAGTAGAGATGGGTTTCACCATATTGGCCAGGCTGGTCTTGAACTCCTGATCTTGTGATCCACCCTCCTCAGCCTCCCAAAGTGCTGGAATTACAGATGTGAGCAACCTCGCCCTTCAATGTAGCAATGTTTATTAAAATGACATTCTGTGGCCTAAAAATTCTACTTATGAGGGTTTATCCAATAGAAATGTAAGGACCAGTACTTAAAGAAATATGTAATGATATTAATTGCAGCATAATAGTGAAAAACTAGAAATGTTTTAAATATATATCAAATTATTATATACCAATCCAGCAATTTCACTTTTGGGGATGTATCCAAAGGAATTGAAATTGTCTAAGAGGTATGTACACTCCGATGTTCATTGCAGCAGTATTCACAATAGACAAGATATGGAAGCAACCCAGGTGTTTATCAGTGGATGAATGGATAAAGAAATTGTGGTGTATAACATACAGTGGAATACTATTCAGCCTTAGAAAAGGAAGAAAAAAACCCTATCATTTGTGATAAAATGGATGGACCTAGAGGACATTATGCTAAGTGAAATAAGCTAGATATAGACAAGTAGTGATCTAAAATCTAATCTTTTTAGTGAAATCTAAGAAAGTTGATCTCACGGAAACAGAATAGAAAGTGGTTACCAGAGGCTGAGGGGACAAAGGTGAGGGGATGAAGAAGAGGAATGGAGAAGAGGAGATGCTGATCAAAGGGAACAAAGTTTGTTAGACTGGAAGAAAAAGTTTTAGTAATCTATTGCACTGCATAGTGATCACAGTTAATAATGTATTATATATTTCAAAATTGCCAAAGGCATAGATTTATAACATTCTCACCACAAAAATTTAAGTTGGTGTGGTGATGGATATATTAATTAGCTTGAGTTATTCTTTCTACAGTTTACACATAGATCAAAATATCACATTGTACCTCCTAAATATATGCAGTTACTATTTGTCAAAAACATTTATACAAAAATTATGATATGCTCACATTTTTTACACATCCAAAAATGAAGAGATGCACCTGTTAAATGGGTTGTCTTGAAAGCTATGGTTATATTAAGTAAAAAGTGATAGAATAATACCTATCTTTTATGAACTCATGAAATCTATATAAACATACATATGTGTATATATGTTAAGAGAAAGTTACAGAAGAATGTTCAACTAATTTTAACTAGTGATTGAGATAATAAAGATAGGATGTTGGTGGAGGGTGGAGGAACTATTTTTGAATTGAATTACTATAGTGAGCATATTTTACTTTTGCAATTTAAATGATTATAATTTTAAAAATTTGTAAGATTATATTTTGTCACGAAGTGAAAACAGGAGGCTGTCTTAATCCGTTTTGTGTTGCTGAAACAAAGTACCACAGACTAGGTAATTTATAAAGAAAAAAAATTAAGGCTCACATTTTTGGAGGCAAGGAACTTCAGTTTCAAGGTGTCAGTAACTGATGAGAGCCTTTGTAGCTGCATTATCCTATGGCAGAAGGTGGGAAGGCCAGGGAGGGCAAGAGTCAGGGACTGAGAGGGCTGAACTTGCTTTTATAACAGCCCACTCTTGGGATAAGGAGATTAATCCGTTCATGAGGGTGGAGCCCTCATGACCTAATCACTTTTTAACAGTCCCACCTCTTTATACTGTCAGAATAGCAATTACATTTCAGCATGAGCTGTGAAGGGGATATTCAGACTATAGCAGTGGTTAAAGTAATAATTTATCTGAAACTCTGTGTTTGATGTTTAAATGACTTACAAGTGTGACTCCAATCCAACAACTGTTCACAATATTCTGTTTCTGGTAGTAACATGGTTTTCTTATAAGAGGTCCACCTAGACAGGTTAGAGATATGTATCTACATAGACCTATTATAACTTAGTAATTATGAATGTTTTTCTAATTGAGAGTTCTAATTTTTAGTGTATCTAATTTTTAGTGTATTTTTAGAGTAGAGATGGGTTTTACCATGTAGTTCTGTGTAGGTAAGTTGATGTGTCCCAAAGCCATCACAAGTGTGTATGATTTTTGTCTGTTGTACACAGTGCTTACATATACATATTTGTGCATATACATAAATAAGCATAATTTTGTGTAACACTTTGCTTATTTTCCTTCCTTCCTATGGACATGAGCTAACACTGATTATTTCTTTTGGAAACATTTAAAGATATCAGGCATCTCTCTGTGGTATTCTTGAAGTGAGTTCTTTGAGATCCTTATTCATATGGATGTATTTTTAGAAGTCTTCTATGAACTCCCCAGTTTAAGTGAACTGCTTCTGTCTCCTTGCTGCCAGTATTTCCCTCATCAACTTTTCTCAGTTCTTATTCCTTAATAGGACTTATTCTGTACATTTCTACTGTTGTTACCTTAGTTCAAAGCTTTGTCATTTCTTGCTTAGATTACCATAGTAGTCTCTGAATTGATTTTTCTGCTTCCAGTTTGACTTCCTTCCAGTAGAGTCTGTACACTGCAAGCCTCAGTGGGTTTTTTGTTTGTTTTGTTTTATTTTAATTTTCCTTCAAAAAAAAAAAACCCTCCTCTTGTTTTAACATTTTGTTGGTTTCTTATTGTCGGTAGAACAGCCTCATGTCTTGTCACTTCTTTCCTTGCCCCTTGCCTGAAATGTCCACTTTGCTTGAGTAACTCCTGTTCATCCTTTAAGACTCTGGGCACCGTTTTAACCATTTAATATA